CTTACTGTCAATTAGATCACTGTTACATATTAGTTTTTAGCTCTTGTATAGCTTACTGTCAGCTGTTGGCTGTACTGTTTACTGTTTCCACAGTTTAGGATAATGTGATTAAGCTCTTACCTCATCAGTTTGGGTTGTTTATCCCAATGTGTAATATTTGTTTTAATGTTCATGTGGGGGCTGCCCCTATTTCTGAAGTGTATAAAAACCTGTATTTCTGTTCAATAAAGTAGTTCCAGTTTTGCACCTAAGCTAGTGTCACCTAGTCTTTCTGACGGACGCACTCAAGTGGAGTGCCACGCGGTCCACCTCACATACTTACATTAGTTCACGCTTGGCCAATGTAAAGTTACCATACATATATTCACCTGTAAATCTTGATTTCGTCCTCCTAGCGCCTGATAGAAATTCTTATCTAAAACAAAGGTAGAAGTGGGAAGCCTGGTTATCTTGGTACAATATACATATTCCATAATAATGGTTGGTGCATTTTCTTTCTACTTTGCATTCTGTGTTTTCTTTCTATTTCTAGCTATAGATTCTTTGTATATTTTCTAATCTTACTGTCGTCCCATATCCTGTGGACGTTCCTTTTTCTCTTGTTGATAATCTAAGGTTGTTTCCATATTAACCTTGTTATGAGAGCATAACACTGCTAATCACAATTTGTTGAAATGCCAATATGTTATAATGATAAAGTCTGAGAAAATGATACGTATCTTGGTTTGTCAACTGAGACAAAGTTGTTACCTTTTCTAATTCTAAAAATTCAATAAAAATGAAGGAAAATAAAGTTTGATTTCATGGTATGGGGGTGACCAGGGCACCACATCCCTAAGTAATCATATCCAAAAATACTAACCTTCTCTGTTGCTAAGAAATGATCCCAGGAGTCCATTGGGAAATTGATACTTCTGGGATTATTAATCTACCAGGGCTCTTGCAGTTCCCATTAGTTTCTCCTGCTGACCTCCACATAACTACTGTATCCTGCAATGATATGGAGGTCAATGAAGGAAACAGTGAGAGTTGCAGGAGACCCTGGTAATCGACACTCCAGGAGGTGTCATTTTCCCGGCAAATTTTAGAGGATGATTTCTTAGCATTGGAGTGGCTGGGGAAGATTTTTTAGAAACCAAGTATGTGTTTGGTTGGGATTTTTTAAACCACTTGCCGACCGCGCATAGCCGAATGACGGCTTCACCGCGGCCGGCCAGTTCTGAGTGGACGTCATATGACGTCCTCCCAGAACGCGTTCTCCTGCGCGCCCCAGGGGGCGCGCACCCGGCGATCTCCGTGATCGCTGTGTCCTACGGACACAGCTGATCACGAGATGTGGTGAAAGGCCGATCCCACCGGCCTTTTACCACGTGATCAGCGGTGTCCAATGACACGCTGATCACAGGAAAATGCAAGTGCCGGTTCTCGGCTGCACTTTCCTCACGCTGTCAGATCGTGAGGAAAGTACTGCCGAGAACCGGCAGTTGTCAGAGCGGGGATCGGCACCGATCATCAGGGCACTGATGATCAGTGCCCTGATGATCGGTGCCCGGCAGTGACCCCCGCAAGTTCCGATCAGCTGTGCGCCCACTAGCCCCGCCCACCCATTCCCAGCAGTGCCCCCACCTGTGCCCAGCAGTGCCCCCACCTGTGCCCAGCAGTGCCCCCACCTGTGCCACTCTGCAGTGCCACCTACCTGTGCCCAGCAGTGCCACCTACATGTGCCCAGCAGTGCCACCCACCTGTGCCCACCCACCTGTGCCCACCAGCGCCACCCACCTGTGCCCACCAGTGCCACCCACCTGTGCCCACCCACCAGTGCTGCCAGTCAGTGCCACCAGTCAGTGCCCAGGGGTTGTGCCAGTCAGTGCCGCCAGTCAGTGCCCAGAAGTGATGCCAGTCAGTGCCGTCTATCAGTACCCATCATCAGTGTCACCTATCAGTGCCGCCTATCAGTGCTGCATATCAGTGCCGCCTATCCGTGACCCCTAATTAGTGCTGTCTATCAGTGCCGCCTATCCGTGCCACCTCATTAGTACTGCCTATCAGTGCCCTTTAGTGCTGCCTATCAGTGCCCATCAGTGCCGCCTATCAGTGCCCATCAGTGCCGCCTCATCAACGCAAATCAGTGAAGGAGAAAAAATACCTGTTTGAAAAATTTTATAAAAGAAACAAATAAACTTTTTTTTTTTTTCTAATTTTTTGCACTTTTTTTAATTTATAGCGCAAAAAGTAAAGCACCCAGTGGCGATTAAATACCACCAAAAGAAAGCTCTATTTGTGAGAAAAAAATGATCAAAATTTCATATGGGTACAATGTTGCATGACCGCGCAATTGTCAATCAAAGTGCGGCAGCGCTGAAAGCTGAAAATTGGCCTGGTAAGGAAGGGGGTATAAGTGCCTGGTAGGCAAGTGGTTAAATAACAAGGTACTTTAAAGTTGAAGATCCTCTCCAAGAAAAAAAATGACTGCAGTTTTAAATGGAAACACATAGAAGTGCTGTATATATGAGTGCCTGCCTCCAACGCCATACCCTTGTGACAAAATCTAAGACTTTTGGGACAGACAAAGCTCTGTTATTTTTTGATAGTGCAAGAAAACCTGTCCACACATTTCTACCTCCTGCACATTTCTAATGTCCAGTAAAGCAGCCCATTATAATAAATGACCAATGGAAATGTGTGGGAAAGGAGGTAGCAGCAAACTGCCAAATGTTTCTACAAGTTATACTTATACCATTTTTTCCTTTGCTACAAGGGCTTAGTTAAATATTAAATTTGGAAGGGGGGGGGTGTTGTTTTAAAACTGCTAAAGTAGTTGTATTTCTGTCCATCCTATACTATGATTTACACAGCTCTGCCAAATATCCCCAAAGGGTTTCCAGAACAACATACTTAAAGATGAGCTGGAATTTTAGACTGACAGGTATAATCACATGAAGGAACACTTCACACAAGCTCTATAGTTCTGGTGAGGCAGTTCCCACACAGTGAGGCTTCCCTCGAAGGGCACCCAACAGTAACTCAAACCATAGAAATAAACAAAAGCGCACCAGACCAAAACTGGATAAAGGAGTCCAAGATAATTCTAATTGTTGATAAAAAAGTCATAGAAAGGCTCCAATAACATTATGGGGGCAGCACCAGTTCCCCTTCATGAGGGCTTAAAGCTGAATTTAAGGAATTCAGAAACCTTGCAAAATGTGCAGGCACACTATGAATTGATTCCAATTAGGTGCATGTCACCTCCTGGACTTATCTCTATTACTTATATGTGACAGGTTTATTGCATTACCCAGATACACTCGGCTGGGAGAGAAGAGAAGCACACAGAATAGCTATGCCCGCCCCATTCACAGAAGCCTTTGTAGTTTGTGAATGATTTCACATAATGCAAAGGCTTCCATGAATGGGCAGAAGGAGGGGCAGGCATAGCAGTTCCTGCTTCTCTGCTCTTGAAGGATCTGAGGCCACAGTGAGCAATGGTGGAGCTCCAGAAGTTATCTTCTTAGAGCACAATAAACCTGTCAGATGTGAATAATAGTCTATGAGGTGGCAGGCACCTCGTTAGACTTAGCTCATATTATGCCTGCAGTTTTTACAAAGTAGCCGAATTAGTGGAATTCAGCTTTAACACAGGACTTAGTGACTTAACAGAGAAAACAGTGACTTCACAGATCTTCGTATATTAAAACAAGTGTTGAACTCTCCTCAAGGAGGAACACCTTGACAGCAGTTGCTAATCAGCAATGAAATGCGTTGGCTGTTTATATGACTTTTTAAATCAACAATTGAAATGATCTTGGCCAAAGCATCAAAGCACAGCCCTGGCTGACAAGAGACCAGATTTTTCTCTCTGCTGTAGTTAAGTAACATCTACAGGTCTTGTCCCTCTCCCAGTCTGTGTCTGTGACTGGGAAGTGCAAGAAGAAGTAGCACCAGACTGATGAACTCATCATTCTGCTCTCTCTTCCTATCAGCATGCTCCTTGTTGGCACATGAGCATAGCCAGGGTTTTTTTCTCAGAGAATAAGTGCAGGTACTCCTCCATTCTGAGTCACCCCTTGTCTCTGACCACTAACATCCTCTAAGCACCGTCTTTTGGTTCAAACCCTACCTACCTCCCAATACCAAATGCCCATTTTAGAGAATTCAACAGTTTAATTTTGTGGAATATTTTAGTGATAACAAGAAAAGCAGCATTTAGATCCTCTGCAGCCAACAACAATAGACCCCCCAGAAACAATAGATCCACTCAGCAGCGGTAGACTCCCGCCAGAAACAATAGACCCCCGCAAAACAATTTCACCCCCAGCTAAAAAAGATCCACCCCAGCAACAATAGACCCCTCAGCAACAATAGATCCCTTCAACAACAGTAGAGCCCCCAAGAAAAAATAGACCCACTGCACCATAGTACCCCCTCAGTTACAAAAGATCCAGACCATCAATAATAGACCCCTCCAGCAACAATAGATCTCTCAGTAGCAAGAATCGATCGACCCTCCAGCTGCCAGCAGTCAGCAGCAATAGAATCCTCCAGCAACAATAGATCCACACCGGCAGAAATAGACTTCCCCAGCAGCAATAGATCCCATCAAGCAAAAGTAGACCTTCAACAAAATACCCCCGTAGCTACAAAAGATCCACACCAGCAACAAAAGACCACACCAGCAACAATAGCTCTCTCAGTAGCTAGCATCAATAGACCCTCCAGCAGCCAGCAGCAATAGAACCCTCCAGCAACAATAGAACCACACCGGCAGAAATAGACTTACCCAGCATAAATAGATCCCCCAGCACATTCAGCACCCTTTGCCATTATATACATTCAGTACTGGAGGTGCCGGAACTGCGTTCCTGCTGAAAAAAAGCCCTGAACATAGTTGACTGGCTCCTTGGCTGATTCCTCATGTGCTGGTCCAAACTCTGTTTTTCTTTCTGATGCAATTAACCTCCATGGAGGTATTCCTGAGTATAGCTCGGGGTAAAGTTTCAGCGCCACAAGTGGTAACCCTGAGCTACACTCGGGAATACACTGCAGCGTTGCTCCGGGATCTCTTCTTCACTTACCTTGTCCTGTTCTCCTGGGATGTCCCTCCTGCAGTGTCCCCTGCAATGTCCTCCGGCCGATTCCGGCATATGTCTTCTGGGTTCCGTTCCCTACGATGTCAGGACATACGGGGACGGAACTGACGGGAAATGTAAAAATGTGAAAAAGTGACATTCACTAAATTCACTAAAATCACATAGTATAACATTCCTGTATCAAACCATTTCACATACATTTTGTCCCGAGTGCTTTGTCCTGTGCCCTGCCTGCATTTTGACTGTTCTTTCTGCCTTGAAACTGAGAAACGTCCATGGCGTCCAAAAAGCGTCCCTTTAGGTCAAAAGCGGTTTTAGACCAGCTAGAGAACAGCGATAGTAAATTAGAACCACTTGCAGAATTGAGTGATAATGATTTGTGGGGAAATTCATCATCAGACACTGAAAATGATTTTGCGACTTTGCTAAGTGATGTGCGAACTTGGCGTTCTATTTCAAATTTCAGTGTTTTTGGTTTGATATATTATTGAATTAAATTTATTATTATTATATTATAATTTTTTATGATTATTTATTAAATTATAATTTCTGATTTCGTGTTTCAAATTTTAACATACCCGGGATGTTTACTAGACTCTTGTTCAGACAGATTTCAGTGAGTTATTCCTAAAAATTACAGGCCTACAATAAAAAAAAAATACATATTTCCATGCAAAAAAAGTACGGCTTTGAGCACAGAAATATGGACATAATCAGACCGCTAGGGAGGCTACGTAACATCTACAGGTCTTGTCTCTCCCCCAATCTGTGAATGGAGAGTGCAAGAAGAAGTAGCAGCAGACTCTCTCATCATTCTACGCTCTCCTCCTATCAGCATATTCTTTGTTGGCACAATAGCATAGATGACTTGCTCCTTGGCTGAATCCTCATCTCCCGGTCCAAACTCTGTTTTTCTTTCTGATTCAATTAAGTAAAATCTACAGGTCTTGTCCCTCCCCCAGTCTGTGACTGGAGAGTGCAAGAAGAAGTAGCAGCAGACTGTCTCATCATTCTATGCTCTCCTCCTATCAGCATATTCTTTGTTGGCACAATAGCATAGATGACTTGCTCCTTGGCTGAATCCTCATCTCCCGGTCCAAACTCTGTTTTTCTTTCTGATGCAATTAAGTAAAATCTACAGGTCTTGTCCCTCCCCCAGTCTGTGACTGGAGAGTGCAAGAAGAAGTAGCAGCAGACTGATGAGCTCATCAGTCTGCTCTCTCCTCCTGTCAGCATGCTCTTAGTTGGCACAATAGCATAGATGACTTGCTCCTTGGCTGATTCCAAACTCTTCTGTACAGAGGACCGCAAGAGGCTGATAATGTTTAAACTGCATGCATGCACAGTGCATTCTCTCCATCTCTGAGCTAGCTAAGAACTCTTCTTATTTTCCTAAACCTGGTCTTGTACCATAACTCTTCCCATTAACATCTCCATGGTAGAAGATCGCTTTCAAACCGCATGAAAGAATTTTAATAAACAAAAGTTCTGCACAATCTATTTTTTATTTCTGGTTGAAGTGGACATGTATAGGCCACTGCACTAATTACACCCGTCAGCCGCAAGTGTGAAATGTTCATTAGAATGCCAGCAAGTTCTTTGTAGCGGGAGAAACGAGCAATAATTAGTTATTTTTCGAACCAAAAAAACACAAAAAAAAAAACCTGAGTGTCATGGAGTCAGTCTTGCTGTTCTAATACTGACTGTGAGACATGCCTGGAGCTGCAGAGACATCCAAACAAAGTCTTCTGCTCTCCTATTTATTGTGTCAGTGACGCCTTTATCCCTTTGGACGTTAATGAGAACAATTTTCTCATGTTTCCGCGCTCCTTCGTTGCTGTGATAACAGCCTTTCTGTAGCGTCCTGGCTTCTTGGCTCACGCTGATATCTTAATAAAATCCCCACTAGATCAGTAATAAGTGGACCATTACACAAAACCGCCAGAAAATGAAAAATTTCAGGTTTGTGAGGTGTAACAAAGACACAGAGACATCTGTACGCATCTTATCCACAGGCTAGCCTGGCTGCTCCAGGCTTCACGCAGTCATCCCTCCGACAAAGAGCAGGCTTCACTGTGTAAATCTGCGAGAGTGGAAAGCCGGATTAAAATTCATGAATCTGCAGGCCGGGATTGATAGCTCTGCTTGGTGTAGTCTTGTAAGTTTGTCAAAAGTTTTGATGGCTGCATGCCGTTTAATTCCTAGCTGAATAGTAATGCTAAATGATGGCAAGAGTCAAGCATTTGCATTCTTTTAAAAAACAACTCCAGTTTTTAGAATTTTTTAAAAAAAAATCCATTGCCTAGCTATTATTAAAATAAAATGACAGCTTTCACTGCAGTACTCCCGGGTGCTGTCTCCTTTAGACCCACCACTCCATGGTGCAATCTTAGTTCTCTTTGGGTTGATGCTGTCAGAAAAGTCACGCCAGTATATATATATTTTAAATATAAATATATTTTAAAAATATTCTTCCCAAATATATTGCCATATATTTGAACTACTACAATTTTGGCCGTATTCAATATATTTCAAAATATATTTCAATATATATATATATATATATATATATATATATGTACTGCATGTTGAAATATGTTTTTATTACAAAATATATGAAAAATATTTCTAAAAATACATTTCAAATATACTGTATGTCTTTAACCACTTGCCTATAGGGGACTTATACCCTTCCTGTCCAGGCCAATCTTCAGCTTTTCAGCGCTGTCACACTTTGAAGGACAATTGCGCAATAATGCAACACTGTACTCATATTAAAAAAAAAACATTTTTTCTTAGGTTTTGTTATAAAATTTTTGTAAATAAGTGATTTTTCTCCACTGATGTGCGCTAATGAGGCTGCAGTGATGGGCACTGATAGGTGGCACTGATGGGCACTGATGAGGCACTGGTAGGTGGCACTGATGGCATTGACAGCCATCACTGATGTGCACTGAAAAGTGGCACTCATATATGGCACTGATAGGTGGCACTGACTGGCACTGTTAGATGGCACTGACTGGCACTGTTAGGCGGCACTGATAGGAAGCACTGATGCACGGCACTGACTGGCACTGATAGGTGGCACTGACTGGCACTGATAGGCAGCACTGACTGGCAGCACTGATAGGTGGCACTGACTGGCACTGATTGGCACTGATAGGCGGCACTGACTGGCACTGATAGGCGGCACTGATTGGCAGCACTGATAGGTGGCACTGAAAGGCAGCTCAGATGGGCACTGATATGTGGCATTGATGTGCACTAGTAGGCACTGATATGTGGCATTGATGTGGCACTGATGGGCACTGGCAGGTGGCATTGATGGGCACTGACAGCTGGCATTGATAACCGGCATTTCCTTATTTACATGCAATCAGCTCTGTTTAAAACCCGCATTTCCTTATTTACATGCAATTTGCTGATCACATGACCGAGTTGATGTCTTCGGCTCTTTCCGTTGACCGGTGATCCGCTGTGTCTGAGGGACACAGCGCAGCACCGATCGCCACGCTGCGCACCCCCGCACGCGCTGTTAAGAGTGGGAGGACATCATATGATGTCCTCCCAGAATGAGAGAACCGCCTTGCGCCCGTCATTTCCTTATATTCTGGGCGGGAGGCAGTTAAAAATACAAATCTACATTTTTGGAATGCATTTACAAATATATGTAAAAATATATGTTAAAATGACTTTTTTATATGTTAACAAAAATCTGAAGAATATATTTAAAACAAATAGAATTTTTAAAAATATATATTTTTTTTAAATATATTCTTCAGATTTTTTTTAACATATAAAAAAGTCATTTTAACATATATTTTTTACATACTATATATTTGTAAATGCATTCTAAAAACGTAGATTTGTATTTTTAAAGACATACAGTATATTTGAAATGTATTTTTAAAAAGTTTTTTCATATATTTTGTAAAAAAAACACATTTCAACATGCAGTATATATATATTTATTAAAATATATTTTGAAATATATTGAATATGGCCAAAATTGTAGTATTTCAAATATATGGCAATGTATTTGGGGAGAATATTTTTTAAATATATATCAAATATATTTTCTTCCATGTGGGCAGGTGCAAGTTGGCTTGTAGCCATTTGCCAGGGGTTGCTGCTACCTATGCAGTGATGCATGCATGAACATGTGAGTGAACAAGTATTGCTATTGTAGGCACCAAGTGGATTACTTACCTGGATAATTACACATGGCCACACTGACTTGACTTCTGCAATACCTCTTGGCCTGTGTTCAGTATTTCCATAGAGGCAAATAAAGATAGAGCCGCTCAGCTTCAAAGACTTCAAAATATATTTATGGGTATCACCTGAAACAGGGAAAATCCACTTCTTAAGCATTTCACTCCTTCAGCAGCTTGGTCATGGTCTTTGTTTGTTTGCCTCTGATGTTAATGGGATCACAGACCATTTTGGAGCCTGCATCCTTTGGTTGGGTATCGACCTGACTTGTCTTGACTGGTCCTACTATCCATCTGGACCGAACTTGGTTTGCACCATGACCATGCTTCCACCTGCTCTTTTTGCACCAGATCTGCCCATCTGATACCGACTTCAGCTTTGAACCTAACCCCACATCTGCTACTGACTCTATATTTGATGTGACCATTAGTTGCTGCCTTGGCTTCCCCAACTTTGAACCAGTTTTGAGCTTCTGCATGTCTTTTACATACCTACTAGTATCTGTATTTACCATCTACTCACCAGCCTTCTGATCCTGTGTTCAACCTATGTATATCCTGCATTGTTCCAGTCCGCTGCTTCAGTGGCTGATCTCCTCTTCGTACCTGCTAGAAATTTTTTAAAGAAATAACTAAAGTTATACTTTAATACTTTACATTAATGCAACTCTGCTACCAGTTTGCCTTCGTTCGGAAAAAAAAAAAAATCAAAAAAACCTTCCACCTTTCTTTTCCTGTGTCTGGTCTCTTCTTATAAAGCTGAACTCCAGGATCCTTAGATATTGTCTAAATACAAGAGTCAGGTGTATACTTCCTTCATTCCTGGTGTACTTTAACCTCCTCGGTCAGTAGTAATCATCCCTTAATCCCTTAATTCATCCCTCCCTGTGCTGAATTGTGCTGAAAGCGGTATCATTTTTTTGCATGGAAATATGTCGTTTTTTATAGTAGGCCTGTAATTTTTAGGAATAACTCACTGAAATCTGTACGAACAAGAGTCTAGTAAACATTCCGGATATGATAAAACTTGAAACACGAAATCATAAATTATAATTTAATAAATAATCATAACAAATAATAATATAATCATAATAAATTTGATTCAATAATATAATCAAACCAAAAACACTGAAATTTGAAATACAGAGGCAAATTCGCACATCGCTGAGCTCAGTCGCAAAATCGTTTTCAGTGTCTGATGACAAATTTCCCCACAAATCATTATCACTCAATTCTGCAAGTGGTTCTGATTTACTATCGCTGTTCTAAAACCGCTTTTGACCTAAAGGGACGCTTTTTGGACGCCATGGACTTTTCTAAGTTTCCAGGCAGAAAGAACAGTCAAAATGCAGGCAGGGCGCAGGACAAAGCAGTAGGGACAAAATATATGTGAAATGCATTGAAACAGCAATGACAGCAAAAATGACATTTTTTTTAAATTTCAAATTTCCCGCCGGGTTTAGCGCCGTCACAGGGACCGGAACACGGAAGCTGGATGCCGGCATCGGCAGGAGGAGATGGCCGGGGACGCTGCAGTGGACACATCGTGGGAGTGAAGGACAAGGTAAGTGCTGCAGGGACCCCCTGAGCAATGCCGCATGGTAAGCCCGAGTGTAGCTCGGGGTTATCGCTCTTGGTATTGAAATTTTACCCCGAGCTACACTCGGGAAAACCGCTAAGGAGGTTAAGAATTTCTTCCAGATCTGTGCAGTAATCCAGCATGAAACTTTCCCACTGTGTAGGAGCTTCTTTTAATAAAGACCAGTCACTGCTGCTCTTTCTGCTTGTGCAGGGTGACTGGTCTTGTCTCCACCCCATTTTGGTGTTATCTACAGGCAGCCTATAGAGGGTGGAACCTACGAGGCCCCTCCCACAGCTCTGCTCTCTGCAAAGTCTATGTATAGTACAGTGATGATATCACCACTACTTTTAGGGCTCATGTACACTGCAGCTGATAAACTCACGTTTAGGAGCTGTTCAGCATTTTTTTCAGTAGCCCCTGGAGTCATCCTAATGTTTTCCTATGTGTTCATGTACACATCGTTGTTTACAGGCATTTGAGTTTACGGTAGTTTTCTTGAATGCAGAAAACTTGCGTTCAGCAGTCGATTTTATCAGCGTTTCAAACGCAAAACACTTGTAAACGCGGCAAATCGTGTTTATAAGTGTTTGCGTTTGAAATTTTTTTTTAACTCTTCCAGTTTCCAATGCTTTCCAGAACCTTTTTTCATCATGAAAAATGCAAGCAAAGCATTTTCAAGGTACTCAGATGGACAAAACACTGAACACAGGATGTTCCTACCAGGCTTGTCACACATTGTAATCACCAATTCACACCTCAGACCTCTCCCACCCTTGGAAACAAAAGATATGTTAATGACCATTCACACCTCAAATTCCTCATTATGACCCAATGCCAGGTGACCTTAATGACTCCCTCCACCAGACACCTTTCCCATCTTGGAAACAAAAGAAATGTTAATGAGCAACTCACATCTAATTATCTTAACACATACTGCTGTCTCTGCTTCTACTCTCTGTATTTCTCTGATACAGTCTGAAATAGTTAATAATTTGCCACTTTTCAGTGCATTCTGGGCATTTGAGAGGTTCTCCTGTGCTTATCTTTAACAAAATGCACAAAAGTGTGCATATACGCGTTATGCAAATGTGGCTAAACAGACGTTTTTTAACCTATGTTTTCCAGCAGTCAGTTTCCATCGTTCAGAAGTGTCCCGTGTACATGGGACCTTACAAGGTAATATGTAGGTTTCTAAAGACATTTGGCACACACAAAATTGATTTATATAATTTGTAGCTACTGGTGAATTTATTTAAATTAAAAATTTGTGCCAGGAGTTTAGCTTTAATTTTTTCTTTTTAAAGTAAATCTCAGCCAAAATATTTGTTTTACCTTCCCTGTTCTCTTTACATAGATCTTCTACTTGTCTCGATGATCACATAGGAACTGATGTAAAATGTCTATGATGGGGACACATACAGCAATAAACTCGGTAGGTCCTGTTAGATTTTACAAGTCCTGAGGCATCTGGAATTCTGAATTTTTCAAATATCAAACAGATCTGTTTGCAGATATTCAGGTGGGCTAAAAAAAAATCCCCATACTGCTTCTCCTGATTTGAATAAAAATTAGGATATATGTATTAAAAATCAACTTCCTATAATGTATTTTTCCTTAGACCTTCCATTATTATTTTTTTCCTCTCCAATGCATTCATACCACCTCAGCAGACAGTTTTGATGGAAGGGACGGTGTCTTTCTACAGAAACATCTTTCAAATCACAATGGCTTCAAAAAGTACAAATGTCACCTGCACGGCAAACTGCCTTGGGCCATTTCTCAGGCTTTTTGTTGAACAAGACTCCACAAGCTAGGAATGAGGCGGACAGCTTTGTTACTTATCATTGTCCTCTGAACTCACATATGTACCATCCATTACACATTGGAGGAAAACATAAGAAACATTTCTGACATGCATTAAACATGTACAACGTATATAACTCTGTACTACTTCTCTGTGAATAAGTGACCTTCCTGCACAATGCCTAAAACTTGGCCTAAGGTACAAAGAACAGAAAGACATGCTGCTCGTTCAAGAAAGTTGACATATAATAGGCATGGTTCAATACCCAAGGGACCAAGGTCAAGCAGCACATGTTGGAAATAATAGACCTTTATTTAATATACAGAAATCCTTGCAGACTCAAAGATATTAAATGCATTTCATTATTATCCAGCTCCCGCCCAATAATAAAAGTCTGCACACAATGGTGGAGTAAAAATAAACATAAAAAGAATTAAGCCATTGTTAATTTCTTTCCCATAAGGCTGGGCTATAATTTTCAAGGTCATTTTTGAATGGTGCTTGTTGATTCAATGCAGCTGAAAATAAAAAGGAAACTTTTTAGTATATGGATATAATTGTCATTGATCTTCTGTTAAACTCCATGATGGTA